AAACCAACCAGAGGTCACAGATAAGTATTTCCATGATGTGCCTTTTGATGCCCACTTTGCCTCTGAACTGTCTGAGTTTCACTCAGTAAGCAGCATGCCTGGTGTGGATGGATTTACTCTCAAGGTGGATGCTCTCTACAAGGTATGTACTAAGCGATGTCCATAGAGCAGAACTAAGTCCTGTATTAGCTAGCTCAGAGCACTCTGCACCCCTTCCCACTGACAGGGCCAGGAGAGCTCAGGTTGCGATTCCCCTCCATGCTCAGAGGCCGGCTTTAGGACAAAACTTGGAGGAGCTAGGCAGAACACAGCAGGAATTGCCACAGTGGGAGGAACGCAAAGGAAAGGGGCAGCTATGGTGATCCTGATTTCCTAGTTTTGTCATCCCTCCCCAGTCAGGTCCTCTTTATAACGTAGCAACCTCCATCAGCTTAAGTGACTTCTTGGCATTCCTAGGGTCACACCATAAATTAACAAAGGAAACAGTTCAGAATCAAACTCCTGCACGAGAAGTGGAGATGAAGAATATGTTTTGATGGTTAGGTTTTTTTTCAAAGCACTCAGTGAACAGTTGAAATACAGGTTGGCAATGTTCTCCATTAATCATTACAACTGCCAAAGACAGACAAGAAGACTGAATTTGGTGATAAGTATTGGTGCAGGTGCTTATGCTGAATATTTTTGCTGATATCTGCGTGACTCAAAAAAATGGAAAAAAAAAATAAAAATGCATCCAGTTCTGTCTTTACCTAACAAAATCATTTTATCTGACTTCCTGTGTGCACATCTTGCCTTCCTCACAGGTGGAAGCTGGACATCAGTGGTACCTTCAAGTAATCTACATAATAGGCCCGGAGAGCATTGCAGGGCCTCGTGTTCAGCGGTCCCTTACTCACCACTTGAAGCGTGGCCGCAGAGACCTGGTTGACGGTGATGGGAGGCTGATGCTGGATGACTCCTTAATCTATGATAACGAGGGTGATCAGGTCAAGAACGGCACCAACATGAAGTCGCTGATCTTGGAGATGGAGGAAGCTGTGGTTGCAGCCTCCTTATCGCAGACAGGTGCTTCCCTTGGGAGTGCATTTGCTGCTGTCATGCTGCTGTTGCTGGTGCTATTGGGAGTCTGCCTTGTCACCAGGAAGTGCCGGACACTGCGGAGGAAGAGAGAGGCTGTTCGAGCTGCCCCAGAGGAGCACCCTCTGAACACTAAGGTGGAGCTGCCCAAGGGCACGGAGAAGGCAGTGAACAGTCAGTACTGCACCGTGAGGAACATCAATATACTGAGGGAAACAGGAGGCGTCTCCAGTGTCAAAAGCAGGAAGGTGAAGCAGGTGAACTTAGAAGTTAAAGTCCACAATAATTTGCACGACGGAACAGAAGTTTAATGGAGCGCGTACTTATGTTTTGTAAAAGCCTTTTATAACTTGTAAAAAGGAAAAAAAACCCACAGAGACAAAAACCAAAAGATGAGTATAAGTATGCTGGTATTTTTATACTCTCATGAGAAAAGGAGGAGCTCTGGCTTTGTGTGATGCACAGCAGCCCAGGCGGTCACTGCTCTGCCTGTAGCTGAGCTCCTGCATCACACACAACTGGTCCATCTGATGTTTGAGCAGGAGGGTTATGCTGCAGGGGCAGAAATCCCCTGGAGAAGGTGACACGGGCCTATGGCAGGGCCTGGTTCAGCCCTCACAAGGAGGAGACCACAGTTCCCTGCAGGACTTTGGAGCACTTTTAGCGATGTCTGGGAAACTTAATGTGTTTGTGAATCCACGTTGCTGAGCTTTGAGCACAACAGTGTGTGTGCCAGCAGGATGTGGGAGCAGTTTGCTACCTGCCTAGGGAAAAAAGTAAGAGAAGTAATATATCCTCATGTAATATCAGAGGCGGAGTGACTTGATTTGCTTCTTCAAATGAATCAAAACTACAATAGAAGTTGAAAGTGCAGCCTCAGTGCTCAGTGGGACCTGGGGGTTTGTTCTGCCTGAGCTTTGTGTTGCTGGCAGCTGGGCTGTAACCCTATGGGACCTTTGCTACAGTGGTGCTCTCTGGGGTAGATATGGCAGTTAAGGGACATGAATTGTCACATTTCATGGTGCTACAGAGTAAAGTTTGAATGTGAACCTACCAGAGCGTGACAGCAGTGTTCTTTTCCTGCGCCTACCTGTGCCTTCAGCCACCCTTTTTTACCTGCTGCCTGATCCTGGTGGCAGCATGGTTGCCCCTGGCACTCACAGAATTGTAGGGGTTGGAAGGGACCTCCAGAGATCATTGAGTCCAACCCCCAAAACCAAGAGATCATCGAGTCCAACCACTCGAAAGCAGCCAGAGCCGTGTCTGCATGTGCTGGAGTCCTTGCCTTGGGTGCTGGTGGGGTGACTCCATGGTGCTGCCTGGGTTGTGGCACGGTGGTATGCAAGCCCACACCAACCACAGCTGTATGGAGCCTTTGGCCGTGGCCACAGCGCTCCCTAATGGGAGCTCTGCCAGAGGGGCTGCTGTGGGGTTGCCATAGTGGGGGTGGGGAGAGGGAGTTCCTAGGCTGTCCGGGATACCGCTGCCAGTCAGCAGCCACGGTGAGCAGCACCAGGAGCTGATGTCTTATGCCTGCTTCAGGAGCAACACCAAAAAGGTAACAAAGTAACTCAAATGAGCATCTCCGCTAAAGCTTCCCCACAAAAACTCTGCGCCAGATCTCCGGGACAGACTAGCCCCTTACCAGATCATCTCTGAAATGAGGATTTTTTACATCACTGATTAGTCCCTCTCCTGGGAGGGATCTGGTGACCAGCACCTCCCATAACATACAAAGGCACTGAGATGATCCTGAACTTCAGGGTAATATAGACATTTCCTTTCATCATGTAACATACATACACATTTTTTTGGTGGTAATTTAGTAGCAATTTGTAGTGTGTGTGTGTACACATATACAAAGTGTATATACTGTGTGTACGAATGTGTGCATCTACCTGTGTGTCTGTGTGTCTCTGCACATCTCTGTGTCCGTGGGTGTACCTCTATGCATCTGCACGTCTGCATTCACATGTCTCCACGTATGCTTGTACATGCATTTCTCTGTGGGTGGGGGGTGAGTGCATGTGTGTATGTCTGTGTGTGTCCATGTGCACATAACTGTTTCTGTGCATGTGTTTATCTGTGTGTTTATTTGCATCTCTCCATTTGTCTGCAAGTGCATATCCATGGGAAATGCCCAGTGCATGCCTGCACACCTGCATCTGCGTGTCTTTGCTTCTGTGTGGGTGTTTATGTGTACATATGTGTATATAAATACATACCTGTGTGTGCATCTATGTGAATGTCTGTGTCTTTCTGGGAGTTCAATGTATGTGTGTGCAAATATGTATACATGCGCATGTGTGCGTAAGCTTGTAAGCGTGTATATGCAGCATCACAACACAGGAGCAAGTATAAAAATACTGAATGCTTAGTTAACTGGTTTTGCCTAATTGCTTACTAAATACAGGAAACGCCGCATAGATGTTGTTCAATAAGCTGTGGAAACTGAAAATAGTTTGTTCATGTTTCAGCTCTAAGGAGTACCTTTTCCCCCAGCTCATCACAACCTCCTTTTTGATTTTTTATTTTTTACAGCACTCTGGACTTCTGACAGATCATGTATTAATCACTGCCACGTGCTGAACATTAATAACATACTTCAACATTATGAAGTTATTATTCAATGTTTATACAAATATTGACTTCTCTATTAAAGGTTCAAAGCCTTGCATAAACAGTGAAGGAAGATCAGAAATCAGACTGTGTGCTTGTGCTTCAGCATAGAAGAGGGCCTCTTGGGAAGTCAAAAAGCAATTATTGTCATCTGAAAACTGTAGTTTGATGTGATACATTCAATATAACTACTGACAGTGTTGTATAAAGATTGAATTTCAAGCACTAGATGCACAGTTTCTGGGCTGTTCAGATGTCATGGAATCATAGAATCAGGTAGGTTGGAAAAGACTTCCAAGATCATCCAGTCCAACCATCCGCCTATTACCAATAGTTCCCCCTAAATCATGTCCCTCAACACAATTTCTAAAGGTTTCTTGACCACCTCCAGGGTTGGTGACTGCACCACATCGCTGGGCAGCCCATTCCGGTGCCTGACCACTCTTTCAGAAAAGTAGCGTTTCTTAATGTTCAGCCTGAATCACAAGTTGAGGCCATTCCCTCTAGTCCTATCACTGTTACACAGAATCATAAAATGGCCTGGGTTGGAAGGGGACCCCAAGGATCACGAAACTCCAACCCCCCTGCTACATGCAGGGCCACTAACCTCCCCATTTAATACCAGACCAGGCTGCCCAGGGCCCCATCCAACCTGGCCTTGAACTGCTCCGGGGACAGGGTGTCCACAGCCTCTCTGGGCAGCCTGTTCCAGCACCTCACCAGCACTCTCAGTGAAAAACTTCCCCCTGACATTCTCATCTAAATCTTCTTTCCTTCAGTTTAAATCTATTTCCCCTTTTCCTATCACTTATTTACCCATGTAAAAAGTTGATTTCCCTCATGTTAGACTTGTGGGTGCAATTATTGCTCCCCTATGTAGCAGGAATTTGTTAGTGATGTTTTTAGTCCATCTAAGCGACGCGTTCCTTTCTACAGCTGCTGTGTTCTCTCAAGTTTTATGGTTATTTCAAATAACAGTTATGAGGAGTCGTGAGCAGTTTCTTTGTTGTTCCAACTTCCTGTTTCTGTTATTGGATTTGTTTGCTGTTGGTCACTGGTAAATCGTAGCTGTTGGAGATTGAAGGGGCTGTCAGGGTCTACTTTCGATGACCAAATTGTTAGTGGATTTTAATGCCTTTTTCTCAAGAATGAGATTGAGCAGCCTTTTATTCTTAAAAGCACTTTGTGTCTGCCGTAGACTTTTCAGCTGAATCAGCCGTGTTTTACATTTTGCTTTTAACAGAGGAGCAGGAAATAGCAATCAGAGGTAGGCTGAGTAGAATCACAATCTACGGAAAGCAGAGATGAGCTGTGAGATCCTTATTTATGCTGTAGGTGTTCTATATGGTAAAGTGTAAATAAAGCCTCTTCGTGCAGGCAGACACTTTTAATTCTTAGTGGATACATTTCTGCTACAGTGTTAGCAAAAAAGCTTACAGTATCACCATAATCTGTGAGGCTCTGAGAGGCACTGCTTTTGTATTTTACTATTAATTGCACGGGTTGTAGAAACTCGTAAGTGAATGAAATTCAGATACATTTTGCATTAGTAAATCTAATTCACCAGATTACCATGCCAAAAGACTGAAGTAATCTAATTAAAACTTAGAAAAGCTTGTTGGATTTCCCGATCATGCATTAATGCTTTAAAAATGTTTTCTGTTGACTACGACTGTGATACTTAAACGTTCTTTGTTGGTGATGATTCTAAGAAGCTGAATTCTACTTTTTAGGATCAACTGGCTAACTTTCACCAGCTTACTTCACACCTGCATGCAGCCAGTGAGAAAACAGAATTGGTAAGTAAAACCTAAGCACTGACCTAGTGATTTTTTTTTTTTAATCCTATTGGATCCTTAAGGTACAAACCAAAAGAAAAATATCCTTCCAGTTTATCTAAATGGAAAAGAACTTGTGTCACTCAGATTTGTAAACTTGTCTAGCAACCAGTCAATAATCAAGCAGCAATGGCTCCTTCCTGAACACAAAACACTTCAGTCTTGGTGGTTCAGAGGTTAGCTCTTGATGTTACAGGAACTCCTTTTTTTTATAAGCAGCCACACTATTTTTTTCTTAATCCATGTTTGTCCTGGATGCTGTCAGTGTGTAGAGTAAGGAGAAAAAAAAGCAACAGCAAAACCCAACCCACTGTATCTGGCAAGCAGTTCTGTTTCCAAGCTGTTTCATTAGTTCTAATAGTAGCAAAGTAATGCACTTAGAGAGAGGGATTTTTATCCTTTGCAGTCAGTAACCTCAATCAAATGTCCTTTAAGCATAGCTACAATTAGAGCTGAGGGATTGCTGTCTGAAAGCAATCTCAAGAAATGCTATGAACGTGCATCAGTAGTGGTAAAGTCCAGTATCTCCAGTTATTTCTAGTCCCTGAAATTGGTAGCACTGGATATTTGATTTAAAGGGAACAAAGTGTTCGATACCACAGCAGAAGAGAAGGTTGTTTGTTGGAACACAATTTGTATAAAATCCAATTATATTGGATACTCTTCAGTTTTGAAATGTGAACGTTCAAAGTAGTTGAAATTTCAACACTCAAAACTCCTGTTCTAAACCGTAGGCTACGTGGAGGTTAGAGTTAAGAGAAGCTTTGTGTCTTCATGTTTATTTTTGTTTCTTCTGTACAGTAAGTTGAGGACTGGGATCTGTTTATAAGTGCAGAGTTGGCTTAGTCACTGAAGATGCATTTCTGAGGGGGAATTTTTTGTAACCTTAGTTGCCTTAGCTAAGTGTATCTTGGGAAAGGACAGTGCTACAGGAAAAAAAACCATGACAAAAATTCAGGTGCCATTCCAGTATTAGAAAATGAAGTATTTTCCATCTCTGACATCACACACAAGTTGCTGATGTGTGCAGCTGTCTTTAGAAGAGAGCATTTGTCTCTACATTTTTGAATGCTGTTTGTACAAGGTAACATTGAAATTGTTGCAGGCCAACAGGATACCAAAACAGATCAAGTCTTGTGTTCACATGCACTATGTGTATGTTGATCAACGTTTTCACATAGGCGTAAGGTACTCTTGCTTTTTATGCTGTTAAATGGTAGTTTTTATTGTTGTAAAGAATCTTTCTTGAAGTCGATTCTTAAAAGTAAGACATGTTTTCTAGTTTCCTTCATGACTTAGCTGTGCTCCAGTTTGCATTAATTTGTTTGCTGTTTTTTAACTTTACCATATACTCATTGGTCTCTAAATCGGTCCTAATACAAAGCCTGGATAATTGGGTTACAGCCCTGGTGGAGGGCAGTATATGTCTTTGTGTTCCCGAGACAGAGGAGTAGGAGTGTGCTTGTTTCAATGGATTTTTGTGCTGTGGAGAAGATCTGGTACATTAACTTCTTTCCTTTTCTGCTTCTGCTCTTGCTGAGCCTTTTTAGATTACAATGCCTGTCAATTAATTCTCAAGAAATGGTTAATGATTTGTAATTCCTAGTACAAATTGCTTTAGAAAGTGAAATCAAATTCTGGAAAAGATTACTCTTAAGTATCTGAGGCCACCTGTATTAACACTATTGGATCACTGTAAGTTCCTGATTGCCTTGTCCTCCCAAATATTTGTTCCACATATGCACGTTACGATTAATTCAGCCTTTGTCTTCTTGTTCCACATAATAGGAGGAAAACCTGTTGCACTGCATCTAACAAGTTACAGGAAGTCTGACTGCTCTTCACAGCCACTTCAACAAAGTTGTAAGAGTAAGATTTTTCCCCTGCAATAATTAAAGTGTAATTCACAGTCTGTTTTCTTTACATAGGCAAGCTAAAATAGATAGATGGACAGCAAGTGCCAAGGTTGATGAAATGATCAGATTGACAAAGACGCTTCAAGGCCAATTGGAGAGAAAGGTATTCTGGAGAAAGGGTTAAAATAATTTTCTGTTGCAATGGAATGACTAGACAGTTATCTAATTGCTGATGGTAAATTAATTCAAGTTGTTCTCTAATTTATAAACTAAGTTCAATAAAATATAAAATTTTATATATCTTTGTTTTTATAAATGAAACTCAGATGTTGCCTGGAAAACATGTATGTTCTTTCTAGGAAGAAGATGTGGTATCTGCCCAGCAAAGAGAAGCAGCATCTGACAAACTCCTGCAACAAATGCAGTCTAGTATCAAACAATTAGAAACAAGGTAAAGACATGTTGCTGGATGTTACTAATGGGACATGTACAAAAAAAAAAAAAAACAAAAAAGCCAAATGGGAACACAGCTCTGGGACCTTGCTTTCTGTGAGCTTAGTTTGAAAGAAGTATAGTTCTTTAGTTCAGCTTTGTATGGTTAAATGAGTAACATTACTCCTTTGTTTTAGATTACGTTTTACTGTCCAAGATGTTGAACAAATGAGAACAGAAAGAACAGCCCTGGAGAAACAAATCAGAATGCTTCACACAAATTGTGCTAATTTAGAAAGGGAAAAGTACGAAGCAGTTGCAAGAGTCCAAGATTGCGTACAGCTGTTAGAAGAAGCTAACCTGCAAAAGAGTCAGGTAAGTCACGAGTGAGGGCATTTCTTAGAGGTCAGAAAATTTGCATCACCTGCAGTTACAACGTGCCCATTTATGTATACATATAGGTATACACACATAGACAACCAAATTTCTTTTATGTCTGTTGTACTAAAATGAGTAATGCAGAACAGAGCAAACTTAGGATACAACCACACATCATTTAGTTTTGCCATACAGTATAAATCTTAGTGAATATTTAAAAACAAATTGGGCTGTCAGAATAAAAACCAAGGCCCTATTATCAATTTATGACCTAGTCATGGTGAGGAAAGGAAAGTTGAAAGTAGACAGACTTTTTTACATGGTAATACAGGTCCAACAGGGTGAGCTTTGTGTTCAACTTTTCGTTATCCTAAAGAAATCTGAAGAAGTGGTCATGCAGTGAGTCAGCAAAATCTGTAGTCTGGAAAAAAAAAAAAAAAAAACCCTCCAGAGGGTTTGAGTGTGCGTGCTGGATGGGAGATGGAATTCAAATGTGCTGTACTGGCTGCTGAACTTACTGTTTTACAGTAATAAAACGGGCCTATGAATACATCATGAGATCCTCAGTGGTATTTAATAAGATTAGTAGTGTTTAATTAATCAAATTAATGGGGATATTTAAAAAACCTTTAAACACAGTGTACCTTAATGTGCAGTTTTGATTGGCACGTTTCATGTGAGACAGGAGAGCTAGAAAACTGCAGGAGTCAACAAGGCACATAGAAGAAACTGTAATAAAATGTTTTAAACAATATTTGATTGAACAGTTATGGGATAATGCTTATGCCAAAAGTGTAGATACAAAAGCAGTCAAATAAAAATGGAAGAATCCACCAAAACTTCCTGAAGGCAGGGTCTAATCCAGCAGGTTTGAAAGGTATCGATTCCCACACACACCAAAAAAATCTCCCTTTTTTCCAGTTCTTCATTTTTCCAAAGATCTACTCTTTGCCCCTACAGGAGACAGAGTGCAGGGACTGGTACACTTGTGACTAATGCGGGCACTTTGGTGTTTTCATGATAAGCTTTAGCTGTAATCAGGCTTCCAGTAATCTAATGAGTTCCGCTTGCTGGAAAGACTGAGCTTCAATGTGCCTAACAGACTTCAGCCAACAGTAAATTAAGTCTAGATTATTTAATGCACGTAGGAAAAAAATAAGTAAACTTAGTATTCATTCTGCTCAGGCTAGCTAGTTGAGAGTTAAGGAGATAAATGTTCTCTTTTAGCCTGAAGTTGCTTTTCAAATGTGAGGAATGGTCTTCTAATCTAAAGCAAATTCATCCCTTTGCAATACAAGAGTTAGCATTGTCTTCTTTGCTCTTGCTGATTTCATTTCTGTGACAAAGGAGGACAACCCTGTCTGGAAGGAGGGACTGAAACTTTAAAGAGTCCCTGCTACCTGCTGATCTGTTTGTGGAAGGGATCAAAATGTTGACAGAACTGTGGGGTTCTTGTAAAAGCACAGTTGTGTAATTTGTGTGATTCTTCTTGTTACACAAAAGAGGATTGTTGTCTGTTACAAACATCCTTCTTAGACATTTACAGATTTATGATACTCTCAGGCATGCTACTTCCCTTCTGTATTTGTTCTCAGACTTCTGCATCTCATTTGCTTTATGCTCTTACCTCCAGCAATTCCCTTCACTTATTAGGCTATGTTCAAAATGGAAATTAGAAATTATGTTTTCAGTCTGCCTGCTCTTGCTGGCTACCTTTGAATTTGTTAGGTCCTTTTTCCTAGTAAGATATTTCTACATTTACAAGCATTTCCCCAAAGCCTGTGTATGAGGAATACAAGGTAAAATATATGTATTATTTTTTCCCAGAATTTAAAAACAAGAAAAACTGTCATTTGAAAAGCATTGATAACATGTATGAATCTCATTCACAGTTAGCTACATATTAGAACATCAATATAGTGCTCTTCATACCATTTTTGACAGAGAAAAGTGGTCAGATAAAAATTACGGTGTAAATAGTGTCTCTGAGGTGGTTAGTGAACATTTATTTATTAATTTAGTGAGTTATTTATCTTATTTAAGACAAATGAAATAAATAACAGTCTCATTACAAACAACAATTCAGTGTTATGCTCTAGGAGGAAAATTCTGACTTTGCAGGCACTTGCTTATTTATTGCTCTGGCTATTCATCCTTCATTTTGCAAAGTGGGCATTTTATGAATTAATAAACAACAGCCTAATACATGCAGTTAGTTAACTAAACTGTGGCCTCTCTGGTCTCTAAGAGATTATATGAGGGACTAACAGGTTGTCACAATAATGCTCCTTTTTTCCTGCTAACATTGTGAAGCACCTAAGCTAAGCTTACAAAATGAGACCAGAAGAATTCTAAGAGTACTTTGAGAAACACAACTCAAACTGAATGGGAGCAGTTGAAGAGAATGGGACACATGAAGTGTCACATCATGACTGGAGAACCTTCTACAGACTGGATTCAGATCTCCAAGTGACCTTTCCCACACGTTTCTTCTTTCACCCATCTACATGATATATGTTCTCTGTGCCACCTAGGATTTTTCATCTCTTCCACCATGAGCTCTGTGACTTTTTAATTTTTCCAGACCAGCATCTCTCATTTAACAGCAATGCCTTTCCTTCATCCTCTGGAATCCTGTATGGATTCTGGAAGGATCCCTTACTACACTTGTATTCTATAACTTTGCACAGTCAGTAAGTGTACACAGCTATAAAATGACTTGATGTACAGAGTATCAGGCTAAGTAAGAATATCATAACAGAAAAATAATAAGTAAAAAATGCTTACTGATGTTGTAGGCTTGTAACATTCTCCAATGGATGGGATCTCTAGAAAAAAAAATGCTTCCTTGGTGGCAGTCAGCACTTAAATAGGATCTAGGAGAGGTGGAGCCAGGCTCCATTACCTCCACCTGTGCTCCCAGGGCTGAGTCATTGCTTGCCACAGGTGGTCAATCAGAGTTGAGGGTGTGATTCCTACATAAATTCCCACCATCTTGGCATACTGAAGAGTTGTTTTTTGGTTTACTGTTTTCCTTTTTGGAGCAGTTTTTATATGCATTTTTTAGCTGCTTATGAATTTTTATTTTTTTGGGGGGAGGGGGAATAACTGGCTTAGACTTTGTCTACTGACCATTTAAAAAAAAAAAAAAGCATTCAGCTTTGTCTAGGAAAGCGTTTGTGCTTCTTTGCATGTACTCTAGTGCTTCACAGAGATCTTTGTGTCATTTCTGTTTTTGCTTTCCTGTTGGGTCTTGGTGTTAGCTGCTCTAAAACACAAAGCACGTAAGTATCTCTTACGTGTGGTTTCTTTCTTTGCTGCTAAATATGATGTGATAACTGAAGTATTATCAGTAATGTTTTTGTTTTTGTTTTTTTGTTTGTTTTTGGCACTGTTTAAGAAAAAACAAAAGCAGGAAGAAAAAGAAGATGAAAGATGAAATATTTCAGCTCACAGAAGATACTGCTGTAAGAATAAGAAAGGCAGTAAGTGACGATGTTTAGAAAGAACCAACTATGAACTTAGAGTTAAAAATTACATCATTGTATATGATGTGTGCTCACATCAGCAGTTTTCTTGTGTTTTGATAATGTAAGTAGTTAGGGCAGTACGCTGACAGCGTTATGCTCTTTGGCCTTACCATCTAGGTAGGTACTTTTCCAACCCAAATGATATTCACACACCTCTCATGAGCCAGAAGCACCGCTGTCTATGCAGATACTTCTATAGAGAAGGTGAAGATGTGGCACTTATTTCAGAAATTCTGTTCAGTAGCACGTGGTCTCATCTTGGAACTTAGTGATGCTTTTTGTATACATTCAGGTGATAAGAATTGTTGAGTTATAAGATCAGATTTTTGTCATCTCAGTGCTTCAAAATATACCTCTATTAAGACAAATAAGGCTGTTCCATGAAATACAGCTAATTACAAATAAACACAGTATCGCAGCACACTTAAAAAAATCAGAATTTGGTAGAGAAGCTGCAAAATTTTATAGTTATCTGTTTTTGTAACATTTGTTCTTCTCACAAGTGGCTGAAAATTAGGAGCTCCTTGATAACAAACTATTGACAAATGAATTTGCTCTCTGTTGATGTCCCATCTGCAGTTAAAATAAAGCTAATCATGTCTCCCTGGAGATTCTTAACAGTTATCCACATGTCAAATAGACTCCTTTTATTTTAAGGCACACTCCAGAGGAAGTCTTCTTATATAAATGTGAAGCCAATGTCTTGTGTTGCAAGTAGAAAATGCTGTAAATCAATTACCTAGCTTGTAATTTTTCAGAGGTGTAATTGATTTTGCCTCCTTTCACTTTCTTCATTATGTTTGCAGTAGCGAAACATTTGAGACTTCTGTTTATCCAATTAAATATTTAATTAAATGTAAAAGTAAGTCAAGTAAAATCCTACAGAATATTATTAACAGTTTGATGAAGAGAGGTTCTTCGTTTTAGACAAGGAGGTTTGATATACTTTCCTTAAACTTGTGTTTCTCTTTATTGTTAAATAGAAGTTACTGGTGATTAGTTGCAAATAAGCAATCATAGTGTTTTTCTTTTGCAATTTTAAAATGCTTTTATGTGCATACACGGGTCAATCACAGTATACTTGGGATATTTTATCTTGGCCCCTTTGAGAGGTTTTACAAGAATTGCTTTGTTTACAGTGTTTTCTGGAAGGAATTGTATCTAAGTTTGTATTGTGGCCAGTAGAAATACTTTTGTCTGCACAAGAAACTTTCATTTCAGCCCCAGCAGTCTAACAGTTTGCCTGCACACACGGTGCGCTAACAGGCACCCATACTGCGTAGCCCTGGTGTTTCAGTCACACTTAGAAGATACAAGTATGTGAGTTGCAACTTTCCTACACCTGGCAATTCTGATGTCTTCTACCTGTCTGCATTTGCCATAAGGCTAAGGCAAAGAAATGAGGGCAAATAAGCATAGAATAGAACTGATATAATAGCATGGAATAGAACTGATACTGTTTTTAGTTCTCTGCAAATAGGTAACTAGTGAGCTAGATCCTACCCTGGGTCTCTTGTGCTGTCAGGGGAAGGGGTGCGAGCTAGGCTTTAATGCACCTGTGTAGGTCCTGTAGGATCTACTATAGAGCCTCATATAGCTCCAATAGATCCTATTATAGCTCTGGATCTGTACCAGATCTTCACAGATGCCTGTTTGCAGACAGCTTATTACTGCTGTGTGACAATTTCCAGTATAGAGCGTCTTCACATCTCTTTTGTACAGCTTAGTTTGCAGAAGGGACAACGAACAGCAAAAGGAGATGGTAACAGTGTGTGGAACTTTCATTGTGAGTTATTTATGTATATAAAATATGGTTGAGAGGTTTGTTTGAATGACTTTTTGAAATAGGAACGTGGTGAAAAGCAGGGTCAAATAGAGTGAGCCATTAGAGAAAAGCGAGCAGTGGAAGAAGAGCTTGAAAAGGTAAGGCAATGTGTGCTCTTTACATCGTGTTTATTAACATCTATCCTCAGTATGAAAATATCTTCATCTTATTTTTCTCTCACCTCCCATGTTTTTCTCTAACACTGGAACGAAGGATTACACTATGATCCTGGGGATTGGTGATTGATGATCCTTGAGGTCCCTTCCAACCCTGGCCATTCTGTGGTTCTGTGTGATATTTAATTTCCTTATATATTGAGTTGATTTTCAGAACATTTAATGTGCATGTCAGTACTTTAAGTTTTAATCTGGGAAATTAAAGTTTTAATAGTAAACTGAAAAAGAGCACTCTTTGGGAAGCGTAAAAAGTAAAAGGAGATGTTGGACACGATCTAAAAGCACACTGGTACATGTTCCAAATCAAACTTCAGCACAGCATGCTGAAAACTAAATGAAAGCAGGATCTTGGAATACCTTTTTAGAAGCAGCACCCAAATTCAGCTATAGTCAGTTTTGTTTTAAATCCCTGGAACTAGGACACAGTGAGGAGTAGCCTCTTTACCTTTCACTGGTTACTGACACAGTGACACAGTAGTAATGATTAAAGATGATCTGGCATGAAATTCTGCTCTTCAGATTTGCAGAGAATACGGAGGACATGAATCTGACAATAGAAAACTAGAGCAACTGCATCAGAAATACCTACTTGCAGAGATTACCAAATGTGACCTGCAGCTGAGTCTGCAGACAACACAACATAAACTGAAACTGCTGGAAATGAAGTAGTGGACTATAACTCACTATAGAAGTATTAAAGGGGGACAGCAGACCACAGAATGAAAGCTTTCCTTTACAGAATGAGAACTGCAAGCAGCTATTCAAATTTTCATTGTTTTATAAATTACATTGTTTGAAATCTTGCCATATGTCTAAATACTGTTCACAGGAAAGGTTACTCACTGAAATACTCATGCAGAAATTAGCACTCTATGAAGTCATCTACAGTGTGGTATCTCCTAGTATACACATATTAGTCCATGTTAGATAGCATACTGAATTTCAGGTCTGTATCCAGAGGTAACAGATGTTATTGAAGTTTCAGTAGTATAATGGTAAAAAGTGCAATGTGATGCGCATCTTTAGATCAGGTTATTCTCAGAATGAAAGGCCTAGGGTGTTTTGTTTTTTGTTTTTGTGGGTTTTTTGTTTGTTTGGGGTTTTTTTGTTTTTGTGGGGGTTTTTTTGTTTGTTTGTTTATTTATTTATTTATTTATTTATTTATTTATTTTGAAGCCTATGCCATTTATGTATTCAGATTGTAAACCTTATCTATTGTACAGAACAATCACTTCGGAATCTGGAATTGTTATTAAAATGAAAAGCTGCTCTTTTACAGTGCTGTTTTCCTGAGATGGATAGAGTGTTGGGTTGCTTTCATGTAACACTGTAATGCAATGAGAAGTACAGCAGTGATAGCAGGGTGGGCAAGTCCTAAACTACAGCAAATGAGGATGTGCTCAAATGCAGCAGCTATACACAAAGAACTAAAAAAAAAAATGTACGTTGCATGCACCTGAGCTGCCCAGGGTTGGCCCTGCCTTCCCACCAGGTGCTCATTCACTGGTTCAAGCTGTGATTTAATGTTTCTGGTACAGGTTTATATGCTGTTTTTTAAGGCTGATGTTTGCTTAATAAGACAGCATTTCTAGGAAAAAATATTTGGAAATATAAATTGAAGGTGAAAGTTTGAATGATGCATGTTTTTTTTCTTTTGTAAATAATTTTGTTTCAGATTTGTGTGTCTTCAAGATTTATTTAGTAGCTCAGTCTCTGCTAACTGTGCTTGATTAGAAGATCCCAAGTGTTCTATCTTATTTCACAGGAGGAGTAGTCCATATGGTAAAAAGTTTTCTCCAATTGATCTCACTTAGTCTAATTCTAGATCTCCATTAATCTGCTGTATTAGGAATCTCTGCACAACTTTCAGTACAGCATTCCTCTACTTAAGTATCCTAACAAATAATGCAGTAGTGTGGTTGTCAAACACTGCTGCTGCGCGTTCTGGAAAAGAATGTTTTCCAGTGTCAATAGTTGCAAACAAAGACATTTAGCTGAAAGACGGGTCTTGTTTGTGAAGGGTTCCCTTAAATGCACCTGAGCAGACTGCATTATGGGATAATGGAATAGTAGGTAACTTTATCAGATTCATGCACCTTTGCCTTCTGAGAGGAATAATAGCTTTGATCCTTGCTGTGCTTTCTAAATGTGTCCAGCAAAGAAGATTTCAGAAGCAGTGTTACTAATTATGAATGAGGAGCAGCTCATCCAGCAGCTCTCTATACATCAAGACAAAAGAAGTCATATTAAACAAGAAATCTCGTTCCAACTGTAGAACCCTTCATTCAAGCTTAATAAATAGGTAGCCGTTCAAAAGCACGTACAGAATTCCGCATGCCCTTGTTCAGACAGGATACCATCAGTCACAGATGAGAGCTGTGGCTTGCCTCCATTTTCCTCTGATGTGTTTAAGATGCGATCAAGAAAGTCCTGACGGATTTTGACTGGGTGAAAAGGAAAAATGTGTTTCTGTAGGGAAAAGGCAGAAGTGTTAAAGATTATTTTCTATTGCCATTGCACAAGTTGCTCACCGTGTCTTTGGGAATATGTGTCCATTTGAGCATATAATTACAAGTTTATTACACGTTACGCGCTTTCCACAAATCTTTATAAATGTAGTTCAAGTGTATTAAAAAAAAAAAGACTTCATTGTATCCTGCTTGTATTTTTTAATGTAGATAAGCAGTATGGAGCACGAGCATGCTGTGAGAGAACGTGGATACGAAGTTCGTCTTAAGGAAATGGAAGACATCAGTCAGAAGTCGACTGCTGAGCTTAGACGTCTGTTGACAGCTCAGCAAAAAGCAACAAATAGATGGAAAGAGGAAACAAAAGTGGTTACTGAAACTACGGAAGCTAGGATCAGTAAGTTAAAGTAAGTGCAATTTTGTTGTTGCTCTTCTGGCTGCTGTTACTGTATCAGTTGCTGTTTGGAGCAAGGGTGTACTCAGTAGAAAAGGAAGGAGAGCAGCCAATGGAATAGATCATGTGCTTCCAGCAAATAAGAAGCAATGTTCTCTTGAGAACCCTCCGACGTGACTCATAATGAAGCTTCCAGCTATTAACTGGCATTAGAATTTTGCATCTTGTTAACATGTGTGAATCTTGTTACAACAAGAAGTAAATTGGAATATCTTCTTTCAATTTTTTTTTCTTTCAGAAAAACGCTCTCAGTTTAGAAAAACATAGCTTTGTATCATGAAGACTCCTGTCTTCATAATTATTCAGAACAGTCTTTATGAAAGTAAGCATAAAATAAAGTTCTAGTTTTGTAAGTTGGAAAAAATGTTTGTAGAGGCACGTGTTGTGTTCTTTTTGAGCATTTGCTCAAAAGTTTATGAGGGTACAAATGTGCTCAGGGCAGTCACGTAACTCAAATATGATACAGACATGTATCTTTATTTGTGCTGGTTGCCAGGTAACTGGCTCATATTCTTAACACTGCCTATGTATCTTCATTTTTATAGCAGCTAGTCAAGAGACATTGAACTGTTTTTGGGTTGTTGTCTTTTTGTTTTGTTTTTAAATGGTATCTATCTATAGATTGGTTAAAGAGAACAAGGGAATGGAAAGCACCAGTGAGATGTACTGCAGCCTTATGTTAACAGGCATTTCAAGTTCCATATAGCAGTTTTCAGACAAATGTATATGAAATAATAAGGTTAAAAGGGTTTTTTTGTTTGTTTGTTTGGTTTTTTTTGTTTTTTTTTTTTTTGTATTTGGTTTTTTTAGATGTTTTCTTATCCATTTTCTTCTGATTAATAGAAGTGATCTGAGTCAACAAAAACTTTGTCATCAGGAACTTATTGCTCAGCTGGAAGTGGCAAACAATAAAGTAATTGAGGTAAGAATGATAGGACAATTGCTTTCATTTACAACCTGATGCAAATACACTAGGGTGCGAACAGAAGCCCATTGAGTATGTTTCTAATTTAAAAAAAATAATAATAATAAAGCAGCAAAACTTTATATAGAAGGATATTTGACAGAGGAGAAGACATAGCAGGAAAACACAACTGCTTTTGATGACTGTCATTCAAATAGCAAAAAGACATTAACTTTGCTGTCAAATTATTGGAGAATGCAAAGGAGAGATCATTACTGATTACTTATTAGATTACTAATGTGGCAATTTTAGGCAGTTTAGGAAATGTTTGCAAAAACATGCCTTCGTACACATGCATACCTTTAAAAAGGAGGTGTTGTGCTATGGATAATGTGGCACAGGTAGAGAGGAGTTTTTCAGCATACTCAGTAGAGTTGACGCTGCATGTGCCCAGTATACAGATAAAAGCAATACCTGTTAAAAATTAAGAGCATTGCTGTTCTGGAATATGCATTGTTCAGCAATTAATGGTCACTTCAGAAAACAGCTGTGTGTCCAGCCTGCCTCATAATTCTGGGATGATAACCAATTCTGTACAGGAGAAATCCTTGCATTGTTTTTTGTAGCGCTCTGTTGTTTGCGGGAGAAAAACCGGGATGATGTGAGAACAGGTTTCAGAAACTGATGCTAAAGAATAGTGAAGACTTCATACATGGCATGTGGTGAGGAGAAGCTATCTGTAACACACTCATATGATTATTATCTACTATACTCTTCTCCCCTTTGAATATAGCTAAAATATTTGTACTGCACTGTTGTGTAAGTTAAATTACCTGCATTAAAATATCGTCTTTTACGCATCTTACTTCAGGCAGGTGAAACTTCTGCTGAAGATGACTGTGACTGGGGAAGTCGTATGATTCATATTAGAGCTGGAAGTTCTTTATAATGTGTCAGCACTGTGCTTTCGGTCTTACTGTAGGTGGTAAACAGCTCTGCTTGTTTAGGTCCTCTTGCTGTAAGCTCTTTACTACACCACGGATGGATCCAGAGAAGAGAACTTCATATTTGTAACAAGATGCTTCATTTACACAGGATGAAAAATTAATGACGGAATATCAGAAACATATCAATAGGCTTCAGATGAGACTGAGCCAGGCAGAACAGAGGGCAGCTACAGCATCACAAAAGGTACAACGCCGTAAGAAAAAGCGCCATCGAAGCGCATACAAAAATCCCACTGAATGTGAGAAAAGTGCTCGCGTGGTGTTATTCCTGAGGCAGAGGTGATCACATACGTGTGCAGCATTGCCACTGTAATTTGAACAGCAGTCTTGTGTCTTGAATGTGTCATCAGCAAACTGGTGCGTGTTTGATTAAATGCCACTTTGTGAAAGCACGATGAGCTGACAGCACAGATCTGTTTATGAGAACAAAGTGGGTGCGAATTACGCTCGCAGTTCAAAGTGTGGCAATGAAGGTGGATCACAATTTCTATATTCAGAATATTTTCTTAAAGAAGTCGTTGCAGCTCTTGCTTACGAGCTTCATTAGCTTGGTGTAGCCTACTGCAGTGATGACAAAGAGCAAACGTGCTGATTCCGACCCGTCTCCTGGAGAGCGTTCATGGAAGTGTGTCTGATTCCAGTCAGTGCTGCTTCAGTTCACTGTCTTGATGTATGTCCCACTAAACGCTGACTGAGCATTTCTGAAGAGCAAGCAGCCAGAGGCAAGGCAGGGGAGGACCCCTGAAAGGTGCCAGGGAGAACAAAACCGAGGCTGAGGGTTCTCAGATTGACAAAGATGACTTATTCAGTGTTGCATTATTGCACAGCGTAGCTTGGGCAGCATATTGATAAGAAAGACAATGATGGTAGTAGCGAACTAAACTACTAAAATTACCAGTCCTTAGCTGAAAGACTAAAAATCATAGCTTATTAATAATAGTGATTCAGTGAAAAAAAAATTACAAATACAGAATGATGTTTGCAGTTCTAATATGCACGCATTCTCTGTAAATACCTTCCAAGTACTCCTGCTACCTATTCTTCTATCATTTGGAAGTCTTTGGCATCTGAAATAAGATGCAAGAATTCATTACCTACAGAATGCATTGTGAATTCTACTATTTACCCCAAATTCCCATTTATCTCAGCTTTTCTCCTGGATGACATTTTCTGTATTGAAGCTGCGCTGTTGTTTCAATCTTAGTAAAATAAATAAAGATATCTGCTTCTTTTAAACTGCAGCTCACCACATTAACTACATGGAAGAGAAAGGCTACTTCTCTGAAGGAACTAGAAAATATTTAACATGAAAGATCAATAATATTCGCACCGCAGTGGAGATAAGAAGGTAGCTGGAGAAACTCTGCATTGTACCATTAAAATCAAATGCATAGCAAGGTTTGTAAAACTTCATCTATATATTTTGTTTCACTCAGGTAACAAAGAAGGCTGGCTGAAGATGCATACTGTCTGTTTGCATGGCGGAGATCAGAAGAATGCAAACTGATGTAATTCAAGTCCTTTAATGCAGCAGATGAAACAGTTTGTTACAGTGCTGTGGCATGTTAGCAGTTTTAGTCTTAAAGGAACTTGTTACGTCCAACTGAGACAAAATTGTTTGCAGTGAATAGAGTTCATTCTATTGAGATTGTGAAACAGCTTTGTTCATATACAGTTGGTATTTCTCTTCATTTTGTAGAGCAGTAACTTGGGAACACTTTCAAGATCTTACATGAATTGTAGTAAGACAGTAATAAACATCATGAATGTCAAATAGCTCTTATGATAGGAGCTACAACTGGGAAATGCCTCCATTGCCTTTCACTGTTAAGCATTCAGTTCAGTTTGCTATGTCTCTGGGAAACGGTGTTGCTACAGCTATTCTTACAGCTAGTTTTCAAGGACCCTCACCTTTCTTCAGTTCTGCTTCCCGCTCCCCTCCCTCCTTTAATGCTTTATGATAGTTCCTTGCTTTTCCGCTTGGAACTTCAGTTCTCAAATCAATTTGTGCGAAGTTGGTCATCTGGCTTTGAGCGTGTTGGAATTCTACAAATGCCAGCATGTGGGAATCCTTGATAGCTGAGAAACTTCATATGCATTACTCTAAATTTATAGCTCAATTCTGTTGTTTTGTTTCACTATATATAATAAACATTTTATATGTGTAGCTACTGTTGACCAATGTTGTACTAAGTTAACTTGTAGTCATTTCTCTTAAATATGAAGAACACGATTTTGTTGTAAGACTTCTAATCCAGCTCATAGATAATGCTTATCCTCCTTACCCAGTGCTTGTTGAAAAGTGTTGTTATGGGCAAACACAGCTCAGGAGTCTGTCAGACCATCCCCATTGCATTTGCATTTTAGAGAACAAACACAAGTTGATCACCAGATAGAAGCAGGTTTGTGGTACCTCCTGTAAAGCTTGTTGTTTATTATAGAAGAGCCTGCAGGATGGTGGCAACCTGAAGGAAAATTTTTGCTTACCTTAGAGGAGTTCACTGTTTCTACAATTGCACTTGCACCAGCATGTTGCTCACAGACTGGCTGTTGGGAGGTGAGGTGCTTGTTGAAACGATCAAGGCTTGAGATTGGCATTTAGATGAGTTTTGCACTTTCCCATGTGATACAGGATTACTTAGTGGAACCCTTATTGATCCAGGATTTGTTGTGTACCAAACAACAGGCAAACCAAAGAAAGCGAGGCTGAGTCCCATTCCATGACTTGACCCTTTCTCAGGCATTATCCTGGACCTTCCCAGTAGTGGATGAGACAGGAGTCAAAATACGGGAAGGGACATCCTACCCCTCCCTGTAGCTTAATTGTCTCTCAGTGTCGTCCAGGCTCACAGTAACACTGAGTCACTTGGGCCTCATGCCTTTCAGCAGAGGAGGTGAAAGGCCACAGACAAAAAGTGGTGATCAATGGTTCTATGTCCAGGCAGAGGCCAGTAATAAGCAGTGCCCTGCAGAAGACTGTCTTGGGACCAGTGCTCTTTGACATCTTTATCAATGACATCCACAATGGAAAGAAGTGCACCCTCAGTAAGTCTGCTGCTGACACCGAGCTGAGCGGCGCAGTGGACACAGTGGAAGGAAGGGATGCCATTCAGAGGGACCTCAGCAGACTCAAAGGGGGGGGCCGGGTGAACCTAATGAGGTTCAACACAGCAAAATGCAAGGTTTTGCACCTGGGCCAGAGGAATCCCAGGCATCCTTACCAACTGCTGAGTCCTTGGCCCAAAGCTGTCCAACTCACGCTGTGCCTGTACGGTACTGAGCCGGGGAATGGGGAATGCAGAATTCAGAATTTTAACTTTTTTTCTTTCAGATTGACATTTATTCCACTGTTAACTCAGCTTCATACTGCTTCAAGCAGGCTCATGGTACTAGAACTAAGCAGGACTTCTCTATTTTATTCCAAAGCCTTGTTAACTCCAATTGCTGCCCTAGAACTTTACTTGCAAATCAGCAGGTAGGCTCTATTTGATGAATGGATGCAAACCTTTGAAGTCTTTTCTTAAAGCTGGAGTTCTTGCTTGCATGTTTTTCAGACAGATGGTGTTGTCATCGGTGTTGGTGGAGATCTACAGCTTGAGAAAGGACAACTCGCCAAAGCTTTGCTAAGAAAGACAAGGCCAAGGCAGACTTAAATGATGAAGGCCTGGGAAAATGACCTGGTGAAGGATCTGTGTTCACAGCAAGAGGTTACAGTCTGAGTTGCAGTTACGTGTTTCATGCTGTCACACCTCGATGGTCAGAGGGAAGTGAATCTGCAGTGAAGGTAGGAGTTTTTATTTACTTAAACTCTTAATTTGAATGGGCTTTATGGAAGATTTGATGCAACTTCTTTGAAATGAGGGAGGCTATCACAGGAGATGAGCGAGTTTGGGCTATTTTTTTAGCTGTGTTGCTCGCACCTTGTTGACTGTTGTGTTCTTTCTGATGCACGTGAGATGATGCTAAGAGACAGTACTTTCCCTTTTTGCTGAATTGCACCTAAAAAGAAAACCAGTTCTCTTTGGGAGGTTCACTTTCTGTTGCATCCAAAAGATGTAAAAATCTCCAGAAGAGTCACAGTGCTTTTCTCTCTCAATTACCTGCTATTCTGTTTGGGCCTATCTCGTGGTATGTGGCTATGTGTTGTTCTCCAGAGAATCTGCAGGCTGCTTGTTATCATATAAAGCGTAGAGCTGTTTGCTGACAGACTCTTTTGAACGTAGCTTGTCCTGTGCAGCACTGCTTGTTTCCTGTCCTTTTTTATTCCCTGGTAATAATGCAGATGAAAGAGTAATTACTCTTTTGATTCTTCCATACGTAAGGCTCATCTGCAGATGGACTTGCTGCAACTTCTGCATAGATGTCTTCACTCTTGGAAAAGGAATACTCTCCATGGGTTTTGATGAAGTCTATGTAGAATAATTACGTTAGGATTGCATGCGGGTAAAATTCTCCGGTGGAAAACAGATCGGTGTTCTGCATCCCGCTTTTTCTCAGTGTCACTTTAGAAGGGGTTTCTATGCTTTCACTGAACTTATTACAAGGGTTGACTGTAGTTTCCTTTTCTAGATGTTTTCAAATGAATGTGAGAGACGGTGCGGCAGTGATGTAGACGAGGCTAGCGAAGGCACGGCTAAGTTTATTTTCTAGAGACTACGTTCATGGTGGTGTAGGGTTTTCTATTATTATTGGTATTAATAGTATTACTGGCTAGTAAATTTTCCAGGTAGCGTCTTCATGATAGATATATGGTGAACGTGCTGTTCCCAAAGTCCAAGTGGATGTTGTAAAGGCAGTACATAGTATGTATGAGCATAACATCTGAAACAGTGCTGGAGATACTAAGAAAAAACATTCTTATAATTCATTATCTGGATGTAGCGTCCACACGGTAAGGAAGCAGAAGGCAGAAGCGAGGTTCTTTTCTTTTCTTTTTAGAAAAAATACGTAGACAAAAAGTTGCTGTCACGCAGTTGAGAACGTGCCCCAAAACTCCCTTCGAGACAGGAGCAAAGGAGTGAGATTTGCAAAGTGTGCTGCTGTCGTACCTCCGTGCTTCATGAAGGCTGATACAGATAAGCGTTGCCAATAAACATCTCCATAGCAGGAGTGTGGTAAAACGTGTTTGTTTTTTCCTACTATGTCAGCATAAATATCAATGACGGGAGCAAGAGAAGGTTGGTCTGAGACCCCCATGAGAAGGAATGATTTTCAGTTACTGATGCGGGCAGTGTTCTCACAGGTAGAGCCCAGGGACGAACTGCGGTCTCAGCAGGCGTTGTACCCACGAATGCTCCTCTGCTCAGTGTCTGTACTTCTGTCCTACAGTTTTCTTTGGTTGCATTTCAAGCCCGGCACAGGATGTATATGAGATGACAATTGGCTCCATCAAGTTCCACGTGGCCGCTGGTGATATTACCAAGGAAACTGGAGATGTCATTGTCAACATATCAAACAAAACCGTCAACCTCCAAACAGGTACTTCAGTTGGTATTAAGTGTGGAAATAGTGTACGTGGCTGGGAGGAGTAGGTGAGGCGAGGGGAAAGCTTTCTTGTTATCCTGATCTACTGGATAATGTGTTTTAAGACTTGCAGAAAAGTGAAATTAATAACTTGAATTTTTCAATAGGATCTTTTCAGAGAACATCTCTTAGATTAAAGGAGATGAACCTTATTGTGTTTTTTAGCTCAGTGAAACTTTTTAGGTTTCTCAAGATATCGTTTTGGACTTGAAAGGCATAAGCCTAAAATTTAAACAATACTAACTAATTATAACCTGTGCTTTTACCAAAAATGAGAGAGTATGGAATATCTGATTCTGCCTTAGACAGGACTTCAGTGGAATTCATCGTAGTAACCGTGGAGTCATATGCTTCTTCTCCTTTTAGGCATCTCTAAAGCAATTTTGGAAGGTGCTGGGAAAGAGGCTGAAAATGAGTGTGCTGAACTAGGCATGGTGCTACTTTTCTGTCCTTTTTGAAGGCTTGCATGCAGGACAGGGAGTTGTTTGGAGTTCTTTCTCAGTGCCTACTGTACACCTATCTGTCCTATGCGCTGTGTTACATCAACTAGTCTTTAATCGGTTATTGCGATGCATGTAAAACATCTAACAAGGAAAGGAAGAGGTGTTTTCAAGACAAGAGAGCATCTAAGCGTTTGTAAAAGGCAAGATGATTGCATCCTCTAATTCCAGTACAGCTTTTGAGGGATATAGACAAGTCCGCGGAGAATACAGGTGTGAGCTGGGGGTGACGTTTGCAGAAGTCTTAATAGAGAAGCTGTGTCTCACTGGGAGTAACTCCCTACCTGCAACTTCTTTTCTTATCCCCAAGTGAAAAAATGTTTGCCACTGTCTTCAATAGCAACCCACCACTGTACCCTCTGCATGACTAAGAGGGAAAATCTTTGCATCTGGGTTCCTGCCTCGAAAGAGGCATTTGTAGACCAAATTGAGCTAGTGAACGGCAAATACATTGGATGGGGAGTAAGGATGGAGAAGCGTTTGGCTTAAAAGAAGCATTGGCTTAAAAGCCTGTTTGCAGGCTTCCCTTATTTTGATAACAGAAGTGAGAAAGTCTCTGGTATGGAGGTCTGTTTACAAGTCCAACAAAAGGGAAGAATTACATGGAGGAGACAGGCAGTCTTGTGTTAAGACTGACTGCAGTACTTGGTCTGCATGAAGTGTTCTACATCTGCGGAGCAAACTTTGAAAAGGAAGGCACACAAAACTGTATTTGACAAACAAGACAAACAGCTCATAACAGATCATAAAATGAATCCCAGAAAGTAAAAATAAAGAGAGGGAGTATTTATCAGCATGGGGAAAGAGACTAGGAGCTTATCCTGGGCTGTACTTGGCACTGTTTCTTATCTCCCAATGACGATTACTACATATATATGTCATACATAATTGTTGATTGTTCATTCCCTCCTGCTTACGTTTCAGCCTTGCAGCCTAATGATGGCTATATAACCACCAAAGGAGGAAGCTTGCCATGCCAGAAATAATCCATTTTGTCGCCCAAGGTGATATCAAAGTGCCAGTCTCCAAAGTGTTTCAGGAATGTGAATTACAGCAGTACGCCTCTGTTAGCTCCCCAGCGGTTGGAGCAGGTTTGTCTCTTCTTTTTGAACTGGTTTGGTCCGTGCAATTCTGCAGATCTCAGAGCTGAAACAATTAGCTTGTCTGGAAGGGTAGTTATTTAATGAAAATATATTCAGCAACTACAGACTTCAAAACCATCACTGGAAACTTACGAAGAGACTGGAAACTTCATCTTTGCTGTTAGGTAGCAGGTGATGAGTACGAGTGCTCTAAAGCTGACTCTTTCTCGATAACAGGGGTTCCAATTTATTTATAAATGCATACGTTTATGAAGAACCTTAAATATTTGTTACCACAGCATGATGTGTAAAGCAGCTCATTGGTTAAACCCAGGGAGCAAATTCTCTGTTGGTAAAATCAGTAGATGATGGAGCTCTGTCTAGCAGACACACGAGCGGGTATGGAATGTGAACAGGGATGGAATGTGAACAGGTCAAAACTGTCACATCAGCCATTTTTGCCTCCGTGGTTTTTCATCAGGCCAGCAAAATTCTTTATATGTTCCTTATGTAAGTAAGAGAATTCAGATTAAGGGTTTCAGCATGAAGAGGCCTCTTGCATGAATAAAACTAGAGCAGTTTTAGGAGTAAAGCGTTCCCTAGCGACCTATTGAGAGCCGGTTCTCTGGCTGGTCGGGTAGGTACCCAGGCCGTACCATCAACATCATTGCCTCATCGGTTGCTGCGTCAGCAAAAGTAAGCTTCCATTTCTAAATTGCCAACCTGAAGTTAGTTGAGTCGTTTGTGATCCATGTGATTACAGGAACGATCATAACTATTCTGTTAAACATGCTATAATCCTTTTCTAGACTGACTATCTGTAACTGGTTCCAGGTCAGGCAGGCTGTTTTCCGGACATAGTCGCTGATGAGATGATGGATGCAGAAACTGACTGCAAGGAGGAACTCTACTCCATCTGTGAAAACTATTAAATCTGTCATTTTTCAGTCGTATCTGCTGAACGTGTTCCATACAAGCTTGAAAAAAAAGAGAAAATCTTGGTGAAATAGAATCAAAATCACTTACTTCCAGGATGGTATGTAAGTACATATCACTTTTAAATGGAGGCAATGAATCCATCCGTTTTATGTTAAACATACTCAACGGGTGCTACTTGCAGCATTTGTGTCTCTCGTTGTAGCATTCCTGATCCCTGAGAAACATCCTCCGAAGGAAAAACGTAAAGCAGTTTCAGAAAATAAAGTTGATCGGGCTGTTGTTAAGATTTGCAGTGAACACGAGAAACAAATGGAAGAAGCAGAAACCTGACCGAAAAGTACTATTCTGAAGGAACAATTTCAAAGAGAAAACAAGGGTGACTCCACCTTGGATTTGGATGAGACAGAGACTGCGGAACTGCGTGACCTACAGAAGAGATGAAATATTGCTCTGTTCTTGTGAGACAACTGTATTGGACTTACAGCATTTAGCAAGGTGTCTGGTTTGGTTATTCAAGTATCTGAGACACGATCCACAGGGTTAAAACTGCTGAATATGAAGCGATCAAGGCAGAACTTTATCAAAACTTAATTGAGTGGAAATATCTGGAAGAAGATTCCTACGTGTCCTTTGACAGTATGACAATACGTGCGTGGAAAGTGCTTTTATAAGAAAGCAGAAAGCTGTCTCAGTCGTCATTCACAAGACAAAGTACCTGGCGAATATAGAAGGTGGATTTGCTACAGATGGGGAAGGACAACGTATGGCGCTTACACATACTGATAAATCTGCAGGTTAGTAAAAGCATCTTGATGAGTCGGGTTGGTATTCGCACACGAAGGTAGGTTGCATCCGGCTGAGTCGGAGTCATAGGAAGAATATGTATAATATTGTGAGATGCTGTTTGTCCGTTTCTGGAGAAAGCGTTAGACTGGGAGATGACAATAACAGGATCGTGCAGTTAAGTAAAACTGTTGGAAATGTAGATAATGCCTTTAGAGGTTCTTAGCAGGCTTGCTAGCAATGATTAGACGTGCTTGTAGCAGTTGTCCTTCTAAATCTTTTCTATTCTCCAGAGGGGCCCTCTTTATCTCAGCGATTTCCATTTATCTCAGAAAGAGCTATCTTTCTCCTGCCCTTACAGGACTCTTCCCGGTGGGTTTCTTTTCTTCACCCTGCTCTCATTCCATTTTACAGGGGCTCATTTTATATCTTACCGGGATCAATTTATATTCCATTTAACACTTGGAAACAGAAGTCATCAGGTTTAAGTAGTTGTGCGCCTCTCAGTGCCTCACATATTCTGCCAGCTGTTTGTTTATGTTTGCTTTATTACTGGACAAGTTGTTGCTTTTGAGAAGAGGACACCCTCTTGATTTGACGGAGCCTGACGTGCGAGGTGCGCTTAGGGAACGCGTCAGCCACGGTTAGTGTTCAACAACAGAGCTCAGTACGAAATCGGAGGAAGGAAGGAAGACCTCCGCTTTTCAGGTGAAGCGTGCGTTGCTGGAGCTCCAAACTCCATCCTCCTTTTTCAGATGCTCTGCTCCTAGTTGTTGAGAATTAAGTGTCTGTTCCCTCCCCAGTGTGGGCAGAAGGCAAACAAAGATGTTTCTCCTCCTCCAACGGCGAAGGAGAACAGATTTGTCTAGGAGCTACCATTCCAACACATCAGTGGTCAGTGCAACGACGATCTGTAAAATAAAGCATCTTACTCTTCTGGGTTTTGTTTCTTTGTTTTTAAAAGATAGGCTCTTGGCTGACTGTAAGTGAACAGGCAGTAATGATAAGCTATAGTAAGTCTAAGCTTTCAAAGGAGGAGGGTATATTTCACTTTAAGCAGCGGATTTGGCTAAATGATTGATGTGCTTCTTCCGCAGATCAGGAATCAACAGCACTGCCTGAAAAATGGGACGACATGCAAAATCAGCAGCTCAAAAAAGCGGAATTGAAACCAGATGCAAAAGACTACAAACAAGTGAAGGAAAGGTTTCTGAAGACCGCTCCATCACTGAATCTGAAAATTGAAAAGGTAAAAGCATGTAATCGTTTATAAGCATACATACAGCTAATGAATAACGACTGGTAAACAGTGGAAAAAATAAATTCCATTGGAATTTGTTGGACAGGTCTTTACAGCAAAAGAAAGGGACACAGTTTTTATCTGCTTTCCTAATTGACTTAAAAGTGTGTGTGTGTGTATTTAAGTCACTATCTGAAAAGGTTGCACAAAACCATCAATAACCACCCAGTTGTCGAGTGCCTGTGATCCTCATGACCTTCAAACCTGGTGTAAAATATCTTTGCCCCCAGTAAGAAACTGCTTATGAAATCCAGTTTTATGATGCTGTGAAAATGCAGATACGGCAATTTCAGTCAAAGTGCCCGTGGGTATCGTCTGTGTTTATGCAGCTACCATGCCCTCTGCAGCGGGAAGGGCCACAGAACCAGGTACCGGATCAGGTAGCAAAGCTCAGCAAGCAGAGGGGATTCACTGTCCGAAACCAATGTAAAGCAGTTTGCCAGTGAAGGTTGTTACTACCGATGTCTTCAAGAATATTTGTTCTGTCTCAGCAGCGTGGACTGCTCACTTGTGGCAGTGCAGAGGCGTATACCGGATTGCTTGCTAACACGCCACTCCACAGTGGGGTAGCTCTGATTTGAGCTGGTTTGGTTGTATGAAGCCAGTTGTGATATCATCTAGTTCCCCAGTACATTTTTCAGGCTCAAGCTGTTAGTTTCAAGCATTAGCTCCTCCTGGAGTGACAGGGGACTAAGTACATCTGCACGTGAGCGTTTCTTCTTCAGAGCTGCCAATTACTCAACAGTCAAGTTGCATGAGAATTTATTTAGGGTGTTCCCCCAAAGACCAGGAGATCAGTGACAGCAATAACGTCCGATGAACCGATTTTAAATTGGCATTTATTTGATGCAGCAGTTGCTTCTAAGGCACCTGGTGAGCGTGCTCTTTTCTTCAGCAGAGCAGAACATTTTCTCCCTTAAGCCACGTGTGCTCAGCAGGTGGATGTTTTGCGTATGACCCAGAAGCCTATCTCACAGAGCAAGACAATCTCTTGTTGTTTTCTATGGATTGTTTCTGTTGCGTTCTGGGTTGGGTTCTGCTGTTTGCTGTGCTGAAATCTGGAGCCACGTGCCCAACGTATTTTATGATCTAGTGTCCACGTGTCGGTAGCTAGGAGGAGAATCTTGGGACACTGAATGGTTGATACTCTGATGTTTTTCTTAACAAGAAAAACTGAATGTCTTATTTTTCAAACTTTGCAGATTGAAAGGGCCCAGAACCCATCTTTGTGGAAAGTCTACGGAATAAAAAAGTGTCAGATGGACGACAAAAACAGCAACAACAGCAATGAGAAGTTTCCGTCCCGTGGGGCAAGCGCAGAGTCATTAACCTTCATTAGCAACTGTGGATTTAACCGCAGCTATGCTGGAATGCACGGTAACGTCCGTTTCAGAACTGCTCGTTTTCCTGGAGGGGGCTAGGAATAATTTGCCATGCTATCCGTGCAGTCCTGACATGTGTGCCAAACTGTTACATCTCTCTGTTGCAAACAAAAACCAGAATTGCCACCTGCAGAGCTTGCGGATATCTTGGGAGTGGCTGCTGTTAATTAATTTGTGTTTGTTTGCTTTGGTCTACAGCTGCACCGTGTGAAAATGGAACTTTGCTGTTCACGCCAGCTATTCTGCTAATGACGTCTACTCAAAACCAGATGCGAATGCGGAGCGGGTTCACCTGCACACGCCGGAAGAGAGGAGACACAGACCTTCTGGACACAAGTTCTCATGTAATACTCGTTCAGCGTAAGTGTACAAGGACAGTGGCAAAGGACATCGTGGAAATGATGACAGAGTAAATCTAATGTCACCGAGTGCCTCCGCTACAGCGTTCTCCAGCAAGTTCCAAACCTCTTCTTCAATGTATGACCAGTTAGGACAATTCAGTGCTGTGATGGCAAATTTGAAATAAATTTAACATCAAGCTATGCTAGACAATTATTGTTGTCTGGTTATTATTATATGTATATTGTTGAGTAAGTTAGCTCATAGCTTCTAGTTTTGTGTCTTTCTTGTAAGGAAATTGGCAAAGGATTGAAGGAAAAAATGTATATTCCCATCCTGTCAGTATTTAGAGGTAACTAAGGAAAAGGAAGACTGCTCCGTAAGTTTCCTTTTGGGACTGCAAATTGTCCCTTATGTCACGAGACTAACACCTTACTGCCTCCAGATTGAGCGCCTCACCGTAACTAGGGAAAGAAAAAGAAAAAAGGAAAAAAATGCCCTTTCTGAAATCATCTTTGAGATTTGTGCAGATCGGCTTTCAAAGACAGGCAGAAACACTCCGTGTCTGTTTATTTAAACTTCGGTCCAAAATGCGACCTTGCTGCTGTTGCCTCTTGCCGAGCAAGCCGAGAGCATAAAGCAGCTGTTCCAAAAAACACTGGGATTCTTTTTTTTTTCTTTTCTGATAGACAGAAAATAGAAATTTTACTGGTGATTAATTTTGTGGTCAGGAAAGGGTGGGCTAATGAGATGGAAATCCCATTGAAGTCATCACTGCATCTCTATTTCAAGAATGTTGTCATGTTCGGCTTACACGTTTGACGCACATTTTAGCAGTTGTCCCTTCCATCTTCCTCCGAGCGCTAGATGGCAGCTGCAGTTAGGGCACCAAACAAGAAAGTGGTGCAGAACTGGAGAGCAGACCTGCGGAGCGGCTCGTCCCTACCTGGTTCTCCCGTTGCCTGGGCATTTCCTTATTTCAGTGAGGATGTTTGCCTGATACAGGTACGAACCGTTGACTGGTTCTCTTACTTATCTAAAATCCTTTTTACGGCCGCTCTTTCTTTTGCTAAGAAAAGGGGAAGAAGGACGAATAAAAGCTTCAAGTAAATGGCAACGTTTTCTCTTTCCACCGTCTGTTTAGCAGCCCGGTTCAAACGCAGTTCCTGACTTCTGCCAGCAGCTCGCGCCGTTTATCTTCCTCGCAGCCAGGAACACAAGGCTTCCGACAGAAACCTCCCCGGAGCTGCACCAGAGCTGGTGTGACAAACAGGAGGGACAGCACAAAGGCTGTAAAGGAAAAAACGTTTTGAAATACATTCCACGGTAGAGTACAAAACAACTTGTTATTGGCACACCCCGGGCTCGTGGCGAGGCTTTTCTTTTTAATAACGCCGCTCACCACCGTACGCGACAGCGTCAGGCTCTCCACGCGCACACACACGTGTCTGTCAGCCAAACAGACAGGGCCTTTGTTTTGAACCCCGAGGCAGCCTGTGCAAGCCCCGCATTCTGTAAACAAAGCGCTGCCTCCTGGAAACCACCTGGCTTCTTGAGTATGCCAGGAGCCAGCACATAATAGTCATTTCATACCGAAATCCAACCGATATCCAAAAAGCTTAGAAGCTGAAACAGGCATATTTAAGCCATCATCAGACGCTCCGCATCTAAAAGCATTATTCAGTACATAAGTTTAAAGCTGGAGGTTGTTAAAATTTTCTCGCCCCATTCCCAGCATCAGTCCGATCCTGTCCATTCACCCGTTTGCAGGCGGACCCTAATGCTTCTAATGAGAATAAGAGGGTATGAATCTACCTTTGAGCCAGTATTACTACTAACACAGGAACGTCCCACGAAAGAAATATCGCACAGAAGCAGGTGTTGTACTATTTGCAGTGTCTTATCCAGTGCATGCAAGCAAAGCAGAGCTTAAGCACTGAGCTTAAAATTAGAGATGGAAAGACAGGCAATGCTTTCACTCTTCCTCCTGCTGTGACATATTTTTCTTCCCTCTTTTCATGCAAGAGAACAGTGGGGAATTGCTTTTTATTAAGTTCAGAACTTATATCCATTGGGCACGATGTTAGCTATCTACGATCTAGTCCACCACCACTAAACGTAAAGGGATCAGGAGAGCAATGCATTTGCACCGGCAGCAGCATTACGCTGAGAGCCAAGTGGGGAAACAGGTGTGAGATGCGGCTGTGCTAGCTGCATGAGAGATGTCCTCAGTCTAGTTTTAAGGAGAAATTCCATCAAGGACCCAAAAAAAAAAAAAAAACCACAAAAAAACCATTTCAGAGAAAAGTCTTACTGAACTCTGCAGGCAGCTCTATTCAGTTTCCACTTGGATAAGTGGACATTTCTGACCTCAAACAGGGCCTGCCCAAAAAAACCTGCCTGTCTTTGATTCACGCCACACAAGCGAAAACCCTGAAGAGCGCTGAGAGATCAGGAGCTTACAAGGTCTATTGAAACGGCAGCTGCGCGCTTCCGTGCCCGTTTCACAGAAGCAGAGGGGAAGGAGACTCTCGCAGCTACTGCCAGGGCACTGAAGGCTAGAAAAATCAAATGTAGCCACAGCATAGAAAATCCATCTCTGTGGTATGAGTACAGGTGAGATCCTCCTGCAACGTGCTTTTGTCCGTCAGCGCTGCACTTAACAGAGAGTCTACGAGACTCCGCATGCCATTTAGTCTCGGCAGAGATGCAGTCGGAGGCTACGGCAGTTTCTTTAGCAACCTGAAAGGCTCCAGACCAGAACAGGAGATTCGCTATAAGGCAAGAGAAGCACATAAAAATGGTTCTCATTTACCATTTCCTTTGCTTCCAAAGGGCAACATAATCTCCATCCAAACAATGCAGAAATAAAGTCAGACGTCCAACTTGTTATTAACCAGGGTGAAATTAATTTTTGCAAACATTCCGTTAGAAAAATTCGCACAATTTTACATTTGGGAGAACGGTCAGAATTTCTCTGATGAATGTCGTCCAAATGGAAAGCACCAAACGGGAATGCTGCCAGGAGACTTAGAACGAGGCTTCCACATACGTACCGTGGAAGTCACCATAAGAGCGCGCCGACGCCGCCACACTGCACGCTTACGAACAAATTACCCCCAGCCCTTTTTCTGGATCATGCTTCAGATCAAGTTATGAGGCTCCAGAAATGTAAAATAAATAAAAATGATTGTAAACCTTGACCTTTTTTTGTTGTTTCTTTTTAAATACTCTGTGTTCAGTGACAAAGGCCATACTGAAGAAATTTTATCCAAGGTTTTCCCTGGCACTTAAGAGCTGCTATGGAAAAGCTCAGCGGAGGCTGCAGTCACGATTTTGAACCGCTATCCACCTTATAGAAGAAGCCTGCGAGAATAAATACATAAATAAACAAACAAACAAACAAATAAATAAATGCATGAATGAATGAATGAATAAATGAGTGAATGAGTGAATGAGTGAATGAGTGAATAAAAAGTTCCCTGGCTACTTGTCTGTTGTGCCAGTTGCTCTGAACTTGTTTTATTGAATGATTTAAAAGCAAATGATCAATGCGAACATCGTTCAGGTGTCACAGGCGTGTCCTCGTTCTGCCTACGTTCCCTTGCGTGCTGTGTATTGTAGAGCTACCTCAAACACCTTTACGCTGCGTTGGGTTTCCTTCGTGGTATTTGCTAGCTTCAGGTGAACAGAAGGAAAATCCTCCTGCGCCTCCAGGGAAATAATGAAGCGCATAGGTAATTTACAGCGTTCCAAGGAGGACAGGGGCTTATCCATCTAAGATCACACACATCCCTAGTGCTGACCCACAGGGCCCAGACTGCTCTTTCTGTAGAACTCGTTATACAAGCAGCTATCTATTTTTCTGTCCCAAATACAGTCAAGGCTCCAGCTGCTGATCAAATCCAGCAAAAATAAAGCTCGGTTGACAGGCTTCGTCGCCATAAACAGCTTTTCCCTCTGGTTCTAACTGCTTCTACTAGCCGGACGCCCACTCTGAACACCCAGCAATTATGCCTTCAAAACACACGTGTGATTTTACACGCATACTGGAGTTTTGGTTGGAACTCGATGAGCTGTTGCCTTTTTGAGGAAAAAACGAAGATCCTTGTGAAAATTTCAAGAAGTCCTTATTAGGTCTCCCTGTTAATCAGTGGGAAGCTGCAGCTCTGACCTTTATAGCCAAGGCTGCACTGTGCTTCTCAGTACAGAGAGATCCCTGCGCTGCCTCCTTTCCCGACTTCCTCCACACCGGCCCCGTCCACGCTCTAGACCCGACGAGCAGTCGTTTCTCTCGGCGCTGCTTGCGCGTCTTCTCAGTCAGAACACTGAACTCCAAGGTATGGAGTTGAGGTACGGTGAAGTTCATTAGGAAAGCCGCTTTATAAGCTGAAGCCAGAAACTCTCTGACATTTTGGTTTCCTGCAGGGCTGATCGGAACTTGTCAGGTGACAGAGTAGCAAGGCAAACTTTGCTGAGGCTCGTGCAGTTGCCCCAGTAGGGCAGACCAACCGGCCGACCGACCGGCCGGCAGTGCAGCTCATCCGCTCACGTTGTTGTGGAGGAAGGCTGCTTGCGGCAGCTCAGGTTCTCAGGCAAAGGATAAAAGCCACCAGCCTACCCAGAAATGTCCCTCCAGCGTGAGACTGGCGTTCTCTCGAGGGGGGACGGCGTTCCCTTCAGCTGCCTGTTTTCACCTGGGTAATGAAATTACAAATGAAAGCAAACTACCGGAGGGGAGCAGAGAAGCTGGAGTTTGTCCGGGTGAATATCGGCACCAGCGACCTTGCGTTTCTATCCCTCAGAACGGCTCACACTCTGTATTCGCAGGCTTTACCTGACTCGCCTCTGAAACGCAGCCGTCTCGGAGGCAACCCGCTGGTCATTTAATAGCGCTTAGCCATGTCACACAACAACTCAGGGCAGGAAGGAAGAGAAGGAGAACACCGTATGAAATTAAGATGGCACCAAGCAAAATTTAGGGGGAACAAATGCCTCGAGAGCCATCAAAATCAGAAAGAAAAGAGGCCTCACTTTCTGTCTGTCTTCCGAAGGACAGCACCTTAAGCAGCAAAGCACTGCGCAAGGCTGCTGATCCAGTGCCACTTAAGAAGGAAGATGCTGCCCTACTGAAGAACAGGCAGAATTCAAGCTGAAACAGGAACCGCTTTCCTCGTGAAATGCAGAGTTCTCAAGCAGCTTTTCCCCAGGAC